CGTTGAGCAGGCGGTAGGACAGCCAGGCGTTCTGGCCTGAGTCTCTGTCCACTGCCACCACCTTGGTCACCAAGTAGCCGGGCTCTGCGGAGCGGGGTGCCAGCTCCACGCCGGTGGAGCCATCTGTGGGGAGGGCGGGGTACAAGACCTCGGGGGCGTTATCGTTCTGGTCCAGCACGAACAGGCTCAGCGACACGTTGCTGCTGAGTGGAGGGTCCCCGCTGTCACGTGCGACCACTTGCAGCTGCAGGTCTCGGAACTGCTCGTAGTCGAAGGACTGCAGTGAGTACAGGACACCAGTGTCCGAGTTGATGGAGACATAGGACGACACGGGCGCCCCATGGAGGGTGTCCTCGGCCAGGGAATAAGTGACCTGGGCATTTCCTTCACAGTCGGGGTCGTGGGCGGTCACAGAGAAGAGGGAGGCTCCTCTGGGGTTGTTCTCCGGGATGAAGGTGGAGTAGGAGGCCTGAGGAAAGATGGGTGGGTTGTCGTTGGTGTCGGCCACGTTCAGCGAGATGTGAGTTTCCGTGGACAGGGGCGGATCTCCCCGGTCAGTGGCTGTCACCGTGATATTGTAGCTAGGAACCTGTTCTCGATCTAAGACCGTGTCTGTGACTAGACTATAGTAATTTCCATAAGATTTTTCTAATTTAAAGGGCAGATTCCCTTGGATGGAACAGACCACCTGTCCGTTTTCCCCAGAGTCTTGGTCATTAACATTTAAAAGGGCAATTAAAGTCCCACTGGGCGAGTTTTCTGGAACCGAATTGGTGAGAGAGGTGACAACTACCTCAGGGGCGTTGTCATTCACGTCCAGAACTGTGACCAGGACTTTCGCTCGTGCGGAATATCCTGCGTTATCCATTGCTTGCACTTCCATCTCGTAGAATCCCGATTCCTCATGGTTCAATTCCCCTATCGTCGATATTGTCCCTAAACTACTATCTAGCTTGAAAAGTTGGGCCGCCTTGTCATCCACGTACCGGAAGGAATACATCACTTCCGCGTTGGCGCCCTCGTCGGGGTCGGTGGCGTTCACCAGAAGCAGCTGCGTGCCCACGGCCACATTCTCCGGGACGCTCACGCGGTACTCGGGCCGCGCAAACGCTGGCGCATTGTCGTTTACATCCACAACCATCACGCGGATGCGCGCGGTGCCGGTGCGGACTGGGTCGCCCGCGTCCGAGGCGGTGAGGACCAGGTGGTGAGCTGCCTTTTCTTCGCGGTCCAGGGCGCGCTCCAGCACCAGCTCCGGGTACTTATTGCCATCTGCTCCATTTTGCACGTCCAGGGAGAAGTGAGTGTTCGGGCTGAGCTCGTAGCTCTGGAGAGAGTTCTTGCCGATATCCAGATCCCAAGCATGAGGAAGGGGGAACCGCATCCCCGTGGCCGCGTTTTCGCTCATTTTGATTTCTAGTTCACTTTCACGGAAGTAGGGAGCGTTATCATTAATGTCCCTCACTTCTACTTCCACCCCGTATATTTTCACTTTATCCTCCATCAGAATCTCCAGATTTAAATGACACTTGAGAGCACCAATACAGAGCTCCTCCCTGTCTATCCTGGCCGCGGTGACCAAGCTGCCGCTTCTCGGGTCCAGAGCGAAAAGTTGAGTCTTACCTCTGGAGACGATGCGAACTCCGCGCTCCGCCAGCTCCCGGGGCTCCAGCTCCAGGTCCTTGGAGATGTTGCCCACCTTTGAGCCTTTCTCCAGCTCCTCAGGAATTGAATAGCGGATCTGGGTACAACCAGTTTCCCACTGGATCCCCAGAAGGACTCCCAACAGGACCAGCCCTTTGCAGTCGCGGTGCAGTCGCTCAGGAATCATTGTCATTTTCCTCCAGGATTATTTCTAATTTTTCCCTTGACCACTGAAGTCAAGATCAGCTCTTCAGCCTCTGGAATCGGACAGAGGTGGTGGTGGGGTGCAGAACTCCACGGTCCTTTCCTCACAGTCCTAGAGATGGTTCGGTTCTATCTGCGCTTTGTGTTTTAGACGCGTGCAAGGCGGGCGAGCTGGAGCTCTGTTTTCTCTCCCTGATTGGTGAACAGCGGCGCTCAGAGTCCTAACCAATTACTGCACAAATTTGAACTCCAGGAAGATACTTGGGTTTTATACCTTAAATAGCTCCACCTACTGTTCTTCAGAGTAGGGATGGAAATGGACCCCACTAAAAGCACAGTGTTCAGTTTTAGTAGAAACTTTAGTGAGCTTTTTATTTTCCTAAAAATTTTCAAACCAAACTGTTTGAGAATATTTAGGGTTATTTTCTGTAGCTGTCGGTGTATTCCAATTTTTCAACATGTTTTTAAAGGAATTTGAAGTTTCTATAAACTAAAAATAATTATTTTATTTAACTTTATTCATTTTAATTTGACCAGAGAGGGTCAGAGAAAGAGAGAGGAAGTGAGAAAGCAAGCCACGGGGTCCAGACTCGAACTACAGTCGGCCATCTGGGAGTCCAGCGCCCTTAACCAACACACCACCTGCCGGCCCCTCTATAAATGGTAAGTTTTAACATTACAGTTTTAGTGCATTTGAGATAACTCCCTCTACCTCGAACACATCTATTAAGGAAAAGTTTCTTATTTTGAAGAATAACATAATAATTTAAACTTTCTGACTCAGCTATAATTTGGAGCAAAAAGTTTTCAATAGATTGCTTGAATTTGCCTAAATGGAAGAACTACCTTAGCAGGTTGTTGACATTTAACACTTAAACATCAAATTTTCATGATGACACGAAAACCTAAAAATGAGAAGTGTGATTGTACACATGATTAGAATCATACCTCGCAGGAAGAAGACACATCACCACTTTTAGAACAAAATAGAAGCATTCCAGCTTGTGTTGACTATAAATAATGGTGGTACACCGCCTTTCCACTAATCCATTGTATTTTAAAAGGATGTTTACTTTTGGGGTAGATCATAAAATTAGTAACCTGAAGAATATTATAAGCTTACCTTTTCCAGGTAATGGCCTAATTACAATAACTGTAAATTACTGTTAGCACACTTGGAAGCCCATATGAATATGGGAGAAAATTCTGGCTACTATATGTTCATAAATGTAAATATTTATGTTCGGAAGATAAACACACTGATAGGCATAAAATAATATCTTTAGAATTGAGAGAAAATCTACGGAAAGCTGTGAGAAAGTCAGACATAATATTGAGCTACTCAGTGGAATTCAAAGAACCCCTAGAATATACCTAAATATTATTGTCAAATCACTAGCATATCCTTTTTCTTTTTCTTGCCCCCTCTCTTTTTTTTTCCCTATAGGGTACATGCATTTGCCAGAGAGAGAGACAGAGAGAAGGAAAATGAAAAATCACTCCCCAAGGGGGATGGCCACGCTACAACCCCTTCCCTTCCATCTTCCCCTTAGGATTCTAAGCATGCATGTACATGCTCTGGTGTGATTGTTCAAGCCATGGTCAAAGGAATCTAATTGGGGCCACCCACGTGGGAATCCAGCACCTTAACCACCACAATACCTAGTGGTCTCCAGACCTTATTTTGAAAAAAGTCCTTTCTCACCCATTTCCCTCTCAATTTATAGTTAACAGCCTTATACCACGGCCAGCAGGTCCTGTGGTGGTTGAGGCACTGGATTCTCACATGGCTGACTACAGCTGGAGTCCTAGACAGGCAGTTTGAAAATCATGCCTGGCAAGCCAGACCCAAAATCAGAGAGAGAGAGAGAGAGAGAGAGAGAGAGAGAGAGAGGGGAAGAGTGCGCATGACTGAGAGCACAAGCGAGAAGGGGTGGAGGTGTAACATCACATCCAGGGTGATTTTCCACTTCCTTCTCTCTCTCCTCTCTCCCCTGCAAGCGCATATGCCCTATGGCACCCTCCCTCCCCCCCAAAAAAGCCTTATATGCTCAAGAGATTGATGTTCTGGGGCTGGTGAGTGGCATGGTGGTTAAGGGAGCTGGACTCCCATATTACTGACTGGGTCTGAGTCCTGGACCTGGCGACTCCTTCTTACTTTCTCTCTCTCTCTTTCTCGTCCTGGACCTGGCAACTCCTTCTTACTTTCTCTCTCTCTCTTTCTCCCTCCCCCCCCATCAAATTTAAATTAATTAATTAATTAATTCTTTAAAAAATATTTTGGTGTTCCAAGGAACACTCAGAGAAAGAAAAAAATAAACTTCAATGAATTTTTTGAATGGCAGTACCATCATCTCCACCTCTCATGGTAGTTTTTATTCATTTTTTAATGTGCGTATTGAAAACATTCCAGGCGAGTTATCAAAATATGTTGAACTACTTGAGGCTGATCGTGAATTTTCTGGCCCAGACAGAAAGAAACTAAAAATATTGAAAGTAGGTAAGCAAGGTTAAAGCAATAGAATATATGATGTGTTAAAGATTTTTCTTGCCAAAATATTGGTTTGAAAATTAAACCAAACATATTGTAAACTTGACATTCACAGAAACTCACGTGAGAAGAAGAAAGAGCATACCTTGTTATTCTCCTCAGTGACACTTACTAACAGCGAAGCTTCATTAGAAAGATCTTGTGGGGGGACCATTTCTGGAGTCATGGTGAGAAAATTAAGCCTTGTTTTTCCAGAATCTGAGGCAACATACAAGTTGTAGGAATAAGGCAAAGTTCCCTCACAGTAGTTGGGAGAAATTCCTGGTCTAGTCTTAGAACAGAGACTAGCCTGAAAGCAGCCCCAGGACGCGGGGCTGGAGGAGCTCCGCAGGCGCAGGGCGACCGCCAGAATCACCGCGAGCAGGAAGAGCACAGAGATCAGGGCCAGGGCCACCACCAGGTAGAACTGCAGCTCGGCCTGGGGGTCAGAGGGCGCAGGACTATCGCCCAGGTCTGGCAGTACCTCTTGCAGGCTATCAGCGAAGACCAGGTGCAGCGTGGCGGTGGCGGAGAGGGGTGGCCGCCCTCCATCTCGAACTGCCACCAACAGGCGCTGTCGGGCTGTGTCCCTGTCGCCCAGGGCGCGCGCTGTGCGCACCTCGCCCGTGCGCAGCCCCAGGCTGAAGAGTCCTGGGTCGCTGGCCTGCAGCACGTGGTAGGACAGCCAGGCATTGTGTCCGGAGTCAGCGTCCACGGCCACCACCTTGGTGACCAGCCTGCAGCGTCAGCTCGAAGGCGCGAAGCTGCTCGTGGTCGAAGGCGCGCTGCGCGAACACCACCCCGCTCTGCGGGTTCACGGACACGTAGGACGACAGCGCCCGGGGCTCCAGGTCGCTGGCTACGATGGAATAGGAAACGTGGCCGTTAGGTCCCAAGTCGGGATCAGAGGCGCTGACTTGAGTTATGGAAGCTCCAGGAGGGTTGTTCTCAGCCACGTGGACCCAGTAGGAGGCCTGTTGGAAAACCGGGGCGTTGTCGTTGACGTCGCCAATACGCAGGGTGACGGTTGTGCTGGAGGAGAGGGGTGGCTTGCCCCGGTCGGTGACTGTGATAGTGACATTGTACTCAGAGGTCCGCTCTCGGTCCAGAGTCCCATCTGTTACAAGTTTGTAGTAGTTATTGGTGGAAGATTCAATTCTAAAAGGAACTTTTTCTTTTATGAGGCAGGTGACCTTCCCATTTTCTCCTGAATCTTTATCGTGTATTTTGAACAAAGCGATCACTGTCCCAGGTTCTGCATCTTCTGTTATGGAACTAGACACGGAAGCAAAAGTCACGTCGGGAGCATTGTCATTCTCATCTAGGATTTCTATTACAACCTTACATTCCGTGCTCATGCCTCCACCATCCTTGGCTTCTATGTTCATGGTGTAACTGCTACTGCTTTCAAAGTCTATAGGGTCTTTGGACTTAATTTCTCCACTTCGATGGTCTAGCATAAACATTTTTCCAACGTCTCCCAGGGATTTAAAGGAGTAAGTGATTTCTGCGTTGACACCCTCGTCCTGATCAGTGGCTGTCACTTTTAGCACAGAGGTGCCTGGGGGCACGTTCTCTCTCAGACTGACTCTGTACACATCCTGGCTGAACACTGGTGCATTATCATTGGCATCCGTGACCTCGATTTGAATTTGAGTGGTGCCAGTTAGGACTGGGTTGCCCCCATCAGTCGCTGTCAGGACCAGGAGATGGGAAATCTGTTGTTCCCGATCTAGTGGCTTCTCCAACACTAATTCTGGGGCGTTCTTGCCTTCAGTCTTATTTTTTATCATGAGAGAGAAATGCTCATTAGAGCTGAGTTGGTAACTCTGGAGAGAATGAGGCCCTACATCTGCATCAACAGCAGGTTCCAGGCCAAACCGAGTACCTGGCATTGCAAGTTCATTGATTTGTAAAACAATGCTATTTTGGGGGAAATGAGGTGGATTATCATTTATATCTTCTATTATCACATTTATGTGAAAAACATTTAGAGGATTCTCTGCCACAATCTCTATGGGCACGACACACAGTGCGATGTGGGGACAGAGAGACTCCCGGTCTATTCTGTCACTCACAAGTATATTCCCGTTCTCCGTGTTCACAGTGAAGTACTGCTTCTCCGCACTAACTCTGAGGTTCCGAGTCAATAAATCCCGAACATGCAGCCCCAAGTCCTCAGCAATGTTCCCGACCACGGAGCCCCTGGCCATTTCTTCTGGGATAGAATAGCGGATTTGCCCGGAGAGCACCCCGCAGAACAAAGGCAGCAGGAAGGGAAGGAGTACTTGCCACCGCTGGATCCGGATTCTCTGCTTTGCCGTATTTCCCATTCTTCTTGAGCGCTGCAGCGGCCTCGGACGTTGTGAGAAGACTCTTCACAAACTGCTTTTAAAATGTTTACTTCCACCACGTAGAAAACTCAAGGCTCCCAGTTTGAGGGCATCCCAATCCTTAAGGAATCAGATTTGCTGAGCAAAAAGCCTCAGGACGGGCCACTTTCCTTTCAGACTTGCTTCCGTGACTGCACAGAGTGTCTGGGTAGAGCCAGCTTTTGCAGCGTGTTGGCCAACAGCGGCGCTCAGAGTCCATTTAGAAAATTGCAGTCAGAAGCTTTTACAGATCCAATGAGATTCAGTATTCCGACAGATATGTTAGACTGATGTATTGAAAATTAGGCAGTTTGTGAGTTTTGGATGTGTCTATTTTCCAGTGTTTACTGTCAAAGATGGTTCATTAGAGATGGGCCCCAGTAATGAGAGCTGACAAGTTTATCTTTTTCCAATCAGCGTCAATGCACATATTGGAAGAACCAAGCCAAGTCTTCTGTCCAGATGTAGAGTGAAGAACAGGGTAAAAAACAGCCCCACCAAGTGGTATGGAAAAAATCTTGATAGCCATGAAATTATATCTAATATCATCTTTGGTCTGATAAGCTGATAATACTACTCCTTCTATCAAAGGAAACTGGAGGAGTACTTTAAGCTACATAGGGTATATTAAGAATAAATTTCATCAGCCAGGAGCTGGCAGGTGGCATGGTGTTTGGGGCACTAGACTCCCACATGGCTGACTGTGGTTCGAGTCCCAGACCTGGTGACTTTCTTTCTCTCTCATCAGATTAAAATAAATAAAGTTAAATATAACAGTTCTTTAAAAAAAATAAAGAAAGAAATTTCACAGGCCAACAATGAAAATTTCCATTACTTACAATAGAGATTTATGAAAAGGATTATTAAGTGTTTTATACTTTCACCATAAACAGATCATAAAAGCATAGCACTAGGTTGCTATAGGAATTTCATGACACAAAATGTAAGGATGTTTTTATTTCATCCTCTTATTTAACTGGTCTATATGGTGTACCTTAACAGAACTTTATCAGTATTTCTAAATCAAAAGAATCTTTTTCTTCTAAATATATTTTTAATTTGCCAGAGGGCGTGTGTGCTTGCTGAAGTGCGAAAGTATCCCCTGTGGGAGATGGTCACACAGCAATCTTTTTTCCTCCATTTCTCCCTCCTTTGGAGATTTTGGACATGTACATACATGCACTGGTGTGTTTTTCAAGCCACTGGGTTGAATCATAAAGTTGGCCATGTGAGATCTAGCTGGCCCCAGAAGAGCTTTTGTAAAATCAAGTTGCAAGAGGCCAGGAGATGGTGTGGTAGTTAAGGTGTTGGTCTCCCAGAAAGCCAACCATGGTTTGAGTCCTGGACTCAGTAGCTTGAAAATCACATTGCATGTGTGCGTACATGTGTGTATGTATGTTCAAAATTCCAAGAAGAGAATGTAGGAGAAAATCCCTAGAGGAGAATGTAGGAAAGTAGGAGGAGGAATTGATTGCTCATGGTGATCCCCTCTAGAGGTAATTTCTCACTTTCCTTCTCTTTGTCTCTCTCCAGGGTGCATACATGTCCTGTGGCAAAAAAACCTCTTTAAAAAAATCAAATTGCAGGGACCGGCAAGTGGCGTGGTGGATAAGGGCGCTGGATTCCCACATGGCCAACCACGGTTCGAGTCTCAGACCTGGTGGCTTGCTTTCTCACTTTCCCTCTTTCACTCTCTCTCTGTGTCTTTCTGATCAAATAAAAAATAAATAAAAATAAATAAAATGAATAAATAAAATTAAATAAATAATTCTTTTTTTAAAAAAATCAAATTGCAGCGCCAATCCTTTTCTTTGGTTCTCCAAGATTTGGTTGCCAGCTTCTAACTAGTTTAGACTATGTCTTAAAATGTGGAACAACCTCCCTCTCCCAAACTGAATACCTACCTTTTTTATTCATCTAATTCCAGTTCAATCATAGTGCCTAAATCTTTCTTCCCAGTATGAAATTCCACAAGCTTCAATCCTATCCCTAGATGGTCAAAACACTAACATTTTTTCCTACTTTGAGATACATTTAAACATCTGCTGAAAGACTTTCATTTCCTATAGTTCAAGTCGTTTTTGCCCAAGCACTGGATACTCAATTTATAGCAAATTACATGAAGGTCAATTCCTAAATGAGAAATATAAACTAAAATGGAACAGAAATACGCATCTGTATATGAATTTTTAGGTCAAGTGTCTAGAAGTGATGTAAGCATACTGATCTGAATTACGAAATATTATTCTTGTGATCGAATACCCTAGGTAAATCTCCTATCCATACTTGGCTCTCCTAGGCATTGTTTTAGATAACATATATGTAATTAGGTAACTATTAAGGCTTCAATAGCAAGCTGATTCTGAATACAAGAATTGAGAAGAATATGTAGTACCAAATGAGCTTATGAAGAAAAGAGAAATCCATGACTCCTAGGTTATTGAAAAGGAACAGAAAATACCCAGAGGAATACCAGCTAAATCGATCTCTATAAACTCTAAATACCTACACCATATCTCTTCTACTCACAATCCATTTGATATGAATAAATCTAGGGGGGGAAGTAAGCATTTTGAGCAGATTTGAAAATAACTTTCTGGGAGACCAGCAGTTGGTGTAATGGCTATGTCGCTGGACTCCCATGTAGTTGATGATGGTTCAAGTCCTGGACCCAGTGGCTTAAATTCATGCCGGGCACGTGTGCATGCATGTCCAAGGTCCCTAGAGAGGAGAATGGAGGGGAAGGGATTGTGGCATGGCCATCCCCCCTGGGGGTGATTTCTCGCTTTCTGTCTCTTTGGCTCTTTCTGTGTTTCTGGCGAGCACACACGCCCTATAGCAAAAACCTCTCCAAGAAAAAGTAATAACTTTCTGAGAATTACTGGATCAAGATTAAGTTATTTCTATTGATATATGAGAATTGATCACACTGAGAAAACTTCCAACATACATACACAAACACTAAAATCATCAAAGGAAATAACGCCAGTTTGACAATTTAATTATTTCTTCAGAACAATCTAATGACTTCACTGGAACTCAAGGGGAAAACAAATGTGTTCTACATTTCCTCTCCCAAGAAATTCCAGGAATTAAAAACCAGTCAGTGTTTGCTCTGATAGAATGAAGCAATGAGACAACGCTGAATTAGTTAACAGGATCGAGACATATTACCAGAGATCAAGAATCTGAGTAGTTTCTGGGACCAGCAGTTAGCGTAATGGCTATGTCGCTGGACTCCCACATAGTCGACCGCGGTTCACGTCCTGGACCCAGTGGCTTAAAATTCACGCCGGGCACATGTGGGTGCGTGCCCAAGATCCCGAGAGGAGAATGGAGGAGAAGGGATTGCGGTGTGGCCATCCCCTGGGGGGTGATTTCTCGCTGCTTTCTATCTCTCTGTTTCTCTCTGTCTCTCTGGCGAGTGCCCGCACCCTATGACAAAAACCTCTCAAAAAAAAAAAAAAAGAATCTAAATAGTTTCATGTTCAGAGAAAAGCTTTCATGTGCCAGTATGTGCATGTATAGACAGATAGATGATAGATGAGAAAGAGCTACAGAGCGCATGCGACTGAAATCGACATGGCCAAATTTAGATTTTAGAGGAGCAAATCCTAGCTGAGATGGTGTAAGCAGTAGGATGCTGCTGCAGGATACTGGAGGCATATGGGAAGCCCCCAGGTTCAGATCCAGAGTTGACCTAAACATGCAAGGGTAGAAACCCTGGTGATGCTGGCTAGCTGGAAGGCTGGTGTGCAGAGAGCCTATCAGGGGTATGTGTCTCTCTCATGAAAGAAAGAAAGAAACTTTCAAAAAATAGAAGAAGTAATAGCAAAAACTGGTAGAATTGAAATCAGTGGAGGCACTGTGAAATTGAAATGGGGAAATAAAAGAGCATGTATGACTCATTAGTTTGAATCATAATCAGTTTACATTGACAGCCATAGAAACTGATGATGGAAAAATAATACTAAAAGTCAACTTACTACAAACCAGGCTAGTTGAGCTAGCCCTTTGAAATAAAAGAAAATATGCCAGAACTGAAATAATGACTTTCAGAAAACCTTCCCCAAAATGATGGTTATCTTATGAAAGCTAAGGATACAAGCTCACATGTATTGCTCCAAATATATAAAAACTAAATACACCCTCCCAAACCTGTTTTCACAATAGGCCACGGAAATAGAGCCCCATGGCCTGGTAGTTAAGGTAACCAGATCCCACATGGCGAACAGTGCAGTTCCAGTCCTGGACTGGGTGGCTTGAAAAACACACTGGGCGCATGTGCATGAGTGCCCAAAATTCCAAAAGGAGGGAGAGATGGATGCTTGCTGCAAGGTCATGTCCCATGGAAAATGCTTTCTTGCTTTCTTTCACCCTCTCCTCTCTTCCTCCACCCAGCCCTCCAGCCTAAGCACCCTCCGGACAACTTAAAAAAATAATAAAAAAGACTTGTGCCAAGACATTAGCTATTGTGAGGCAGAGAAATTAGTCTCACCTGATTACTTGTCGGGTCACATTTGCCTACATCTTCACCTATTAGGAGAGGCTCGCTTTTCTCGCAGCTCTCCTGTGTCCGCGTAGTTGGGCTGGGGGAAGATCAGGTGGCTCTTCCTCGAGTCCGCGGTGAGGGAGACCTCGTGGGAATAGGTCTGCAGAAAAGCCCGCACCCCTTCCAGGCCCACGAAGTGTGAGGCCGGCATGCCTGTCAATCCACCACCTGCAGCCTGGAGCAGGCGAGACTTGTGCCAGCGCCGCAGCCTGAGCGCCAGCAACATAATGACAAAGGCTAAGAAGATGCAGGAGACCGCGGCAACTGCCACAACAAGGTAGAGGGTGAGATCTGAGGTCTCCAGATCCACAGGGACTTCAAGATTGCCCAGGTCAGCCAGGACGTCGGGGATGCTGTCAGCCACAGCCACAGTGAGAGTGACAGTAGCGGAGAGAGGGGGCTGGCCATGGTCCTGGACGGCCACCACCAAGCTCTGCTTGAGCGCGTCTCTGTCCAGCAGGGCCCGAGCTGTGCGCACCTCCCCCGTGTGCAGCCCCACCGCAAAGAGCCCAGGCTCGCTGGCCTTGAGCAGGCGGTAGGACAGCCAGGCGTTCTGGCCTGAGTCTTTGTCCACCGCCACCACCTTGGTCACCAGGTAGCCGGGTTCTGCAGAGCGGGGTGCCAGCTCCACACCAGTGGAACCATCTGTGGGGAGGGCGGGGTACAGGATCTCAGGGGCATTGTCATTCCTGTCCAGCACGAACAGGCTCAGTGACACGTTGCTGCTGCGAGGAGGATCCCCACTGTCCTGAGCAGTCACTCTCACCTGTAGGTTACGAAACTGCTCATAGTCGAAGGATTGTAGAGCGTATAGAACCCCGGTGTCCGAGTTGATGGATAAGTAGGAAGACAGAGGTGCTCCCTGAATGGTGTCCTCAATCAGAGAGTAAGTGACCTGGGAATTCTCTTTGCTGTCTGGGTCGAGGGCAGTCACGGAGAAGATAGAAGCACCTCTGGGGTTGTTTTCAGGAATGTAGGCAGTGTAAGAGGCCTTAGTGAACACGGGAGGGTTATCGTTGTCATCTGCCACATTCAGGAAGATGTGAGTTTCTGTAGATAAGGGCGGATTTCCCTGGTCCATGGCCGTCAACGTTATGTTGTAACTCTGGACTTGCTCCCTGTCCAGCTCTGCAGTGGTTATCAGTTTATAATAATTTCCATAAGTCTTTTCTAATTTAAAAGGCAGATGGTTAGGAACAAAACAGAAAACCTGACCATTTTCTCCAGAATCCTGATCTTGAACATTTAGAAGAGCAATTACTGTAGCTGGAGGGGAGTTTTCCAGAATGGAATTAGTAGAGGAGGTGATAGTTATTTCTGGAGCATTATCATTCACATCCACAACTGTGATCAACATCTTAGCAGTGGCCAAGAGACCTCCACCATCTTGGCCTTGAATTTCCATCTCATAGAATCTATATTTCTCAAAATCCAGAGATCGCTTTACTAGAACTTCTCCAGTTTTTGAATTCAATTGGAATATTTCAGAAGTTTTGCTTTTCATATTCCTGAATGAATACATCACTTCCCCATTAATTCCCTCATCTGGATCCGTTGCATTTACCCTGAGTACCCGAGTTCCAAGGCTGAGGTTTTCTGGAACACTCACTTGATATACAGACTGTGTAAACTTTGGGCTGTGGTCATTTACATCCAGGACCACCACACGTATGGGTACTGCTCCCTTGCGGATAGGGTCTCCTCCATCTAAGGCCGTGAGTTGGAGGAGATGAGCAGCCTCTTTCTCCCGGTCCAAGCCTCCTTCCAGAACTAGTTCAGGATTCTTGACCCCATCAGTTCCACCTCGCATTTGCAAGGAAAAGTAACTATTCGGGCTCAGCTGGTAGCTCTGGAGGGAGTTCACGCCCACATCTGGATCTCTAGCGTTAGGAAGGGGAAATCGTGATCCAGGAGTTGCATGCTCACTGACTTTTATCTCCACTTCCTCTTCTGGGAAGCTGGGGGCGTTGTCATTAACATCCATTATTTCCACCTCCACTCCGTAAATCTTCAAAGTGTCTTCCACAAGAATTTCCATATTTAAAAAACAGGCCGATACCTTCTCGCAGAGCTCCTCCCGGTCTATCCTGCCCGCGGTGATCAAGCTGCCACCTCGCGGATTCAGAGCGAAAAGCTGCGTCTTTCCTCTGGAGACGATGCGGACTCCGCGTTCTGCCAGCTCTCGCGGCTCCAGCCCCAGATCCTTGGCGATGTTACCTACGAAGGAACCTTTGTCGGCCTCTTCCTGCACAGAGTATCGGATTTGTCCGGCCCCAAACTCCGGCAGCGTCCCCAGAAAAATGCTGAGCAGGACCAGCCTCCTGCGGTCCAGGCGCTGTGGCCGCTTCTCCATGTCGGCGTCTGAGCCTATTTTCTGCAGTTTCTTGAGCCGGTTTGATCTGAAACAGCTTCCGCATCTACAAAGTCCCAGGTCGTCTATATCCAAAATATATTAGAAACCGAAGGAAAGTATTTTTATGTTTCCCGTATCAGGATCCGTGAGTATCCATTGCTTTCCGCTTTGTGTGGTGGAGGTAGGGGCGGGAGGGACTCATGAGCGCTCAGCTTCCCATTCCCTGATTGGTGAACAGCGGCGCCTAGAGCTCAATCTTATTATTGCAATGACTAAGAAAACGACGGTTCCAGAGAAATGATTACACTCGCCTCTCCGTGAATCACACGTATTTGTAAAAATTAAAAATGAAAAAAAAATTGTGCAACGCGGGGCTGGCTCTGTGGCCTAGTGATTAAGGCAGCTGGATCTCACATGGCTGACCAGTGACTTGAGAAACACGCAATGTGTATGCCCCAAATCACAAAAGGAGAGATAGATGGAGAAGGGATTGAGGTACCGCCATTCCCCATGGAGGGACTTTATCCCCTTTCTCTCTCTCTCTCTCTCCCCCCCTCTCTCTAGAGCACAGGGGCCCTCTAGAAATACAAACATACATACCTATATGTAACATGATGTTAAAAGTATACCAAGAGAAATTATAAAAACACTAATTATAAAAAGGCTTGCTTAATTTTTTTTAAAGAATTATCTTAACTTTATTTATTTATTTTGACCAGATAGGGAGGGAGAGAGAGAGAGAGAGAGAGAGAAAGCCACCAGGTCCAGGACTCAAACCATGGTCGGCCACGTGGGAGTGTCACCACCATGCAACCTGCCGGCTACTTTTGTCTTAACAGTGATACCTGTATTTATTTTAGGTACTCTATTAAAGATGACCTAGAATCTTTAAATGCAGTACTACACTGGAATATATCGGAATACCGAAATAGAAAAAGCATTAACTTAAATACTTACCTGTTTAAAAGTCTTATCAGCTTCAATGCTTGGAGTTAAAATGCTAGCCAATAGCACAGAAGAGCTGTCTTTGTTGTTGAGAATATCTTGTGTAGCTGAACAATGATCAACAGATGTGAGAAAATTAAATTCTGAGTTAGTTTGACCCCCAGGCACACACAAATTGTAGGCATAGGGCAAGGTGCCCTCACTGTAGTTGGGGGGAACCTGTTTAGACTTGGAGCAGAGACCCTTCCCAAAGCAGACCCCAGCTGCAGAGCTGGAAGACTGTCGGAGGCGTAGGGCAATGGCCAGAATTATCGCAAGGAGGAAAAGCACAGAGATTAAGGCCAAAGCCACAACCAGGTAAAACTGCAGTTCCATCTGGGTGTCTGAGGGCTCCGGATGGTCATTAAGGTCTGGCAGTACCTCCTGCAAGTTATCAGCAAAGACCAGATGCAATGTAGCGGTGGCGGAGAGGGGTGGCCGCCCTCCATCTCGCACAGCCACCAACAGGCGCTGTCGGGCCGCGTCCCTGTCGCCCAGGGCGCGCGCTGTGCGCACCTCGCCCGTGCGCAGCCCCAGGCTGAAGAGGCCTGGGTCGCTGGCCTGCAGCACGTGGTAGGACAGCCAGGCATTGTGTCCGGAGTCGGCGTCCACCGCCACCACCTTGGTGACCAGGTAGCCGGGTTCCGCCGCCCGAGGCACCATATCGAAGAGCGCGGAGCCGTCGGGTCCCAGCGCGGGGTACAGCACCCGCGGCGCGTTGTCGTTGAGGTCGCCCACCAACACGCGCAGGCTCACGTTGGCGCTGAGCGCGGGCGAGCCCTGGTCTCGAGCCTGCAGCGTCAGCTCGAAGGCGCGAAGCTGCTCGTGGTCGAAGGCGCGCTGCGCGAACACCACCCCGCTCTGCGGGTTCACGGACACGTAGGACGACAGCGCCCGGGGCTCCAGGTCGCTGGCTACGATGGAATAGGAAACGTGGCCGTTGGGTCCCAAGTCGGGATCGGAGGCGCTGACTTGAGCTATGGAAGCTCCTGGAGGATTGTTCTCGGACACATGGACCACGTAAGAAACCTGTTGGAAAACCGGGGCGTTGTCGTTGACGTCGCCAATATGTAGGATGACGGTTGTACTGGAGGAGAGAGGCGGGTTGCCCCTATCTGTCGCCGTGATTGTGACGTTGTATTCTGAGTCCTGCTCCCTGTCCAGACTTGCATCTGTTACTAACTTGTAGTAACGATTAGAAGAATGAATCTTGAATGGAACGTCTCTACTTAAGCTACACCTGACTACTCCATTTTCCCCAGAATCTCGATCCCGTGTTTTGAAGAGGGCTATGACCGTTCCAGGTGGGGAGTTCTCCAAAATGTAATCAGAGAGCGACGTGATGACTATTTCTGGCCTGTTGTCGTTTTCATCGAGAACTTCTATGATTACTTTACACTGTGTGGAGAGAGATCCTCGGTCCTTCGCTTCTACATTCATCGTATATCTTTCGACTTCTTCAAAATCCAAGGGCTGACGAGTTATAATGTTTCCAGTAGTGGAATCCAGAGAGAACACGTGCTGAGCTTTGTCTGCCGCACCCAGGAAGGAGTAGGTGATCTCTGCGTTGATGCCCTCGTCCTGGTCGGTCGCACTCACCCTCAGGACCGAGGTACCTGGAGGCGCATCTTCCCGAAGGCTGACCCTGTACACGTCCTGACTGAAAACCGGGGGGTTGTCGTTAGCGTCAACCACCAGGATTCGGATCTGAGCAGTACCACTTCGGGGAGGGTCCCCACCATCTAAGGCTGTTAGCACTAAGTGGTGAGTACTTTGCGATTCTCGGTCCAGGGTCTTCTGTAATACTAATTCCGGATATTTGCTACCATCGGGATTATCTTTTACCACCAATGAGAAATAATCGTTAGGACTTAGTTGGTATTTGCTCAGTGAATTCACCCCTGTATCGGGATCTTCTGCAGACTCAAGAATTGTTCTCATTCCCGGGCTGGTGGATTCACTGATTTCTAAGTTTATTTCACCTTTATGGAATTGAGGGGCATGATCATTAACATCCTCAATCTGCACAGTTACATCGAAAATATTTAAAGGATTTTCCACCACTGCTTCCAACTGCAACTCACATCTTCTCCTCTCTTTGCATATCTGCTCACGGTCTATTCGGTCCTTCACAAGTAAGTCCCCGCTCTCCGCGTCTACACTGAAGTGCAGCTTCTCCGCGCTAACTCGCAGCTTCCTAGCAGACACATCCAGGACGCTAAGCCCTAGATCCTTGGCCAGCCTCCCCACCACCGAGCCCTTGGGCAGCTCTTCCGGAATCGCGTAGCGGATCGGCTCCGAGAGCGCGGGGTAGAACAAAGGCAGCAGGAAGGGAAACATCAATAGTACTTGCCATGGGCCGGCCGGGCGCCTGTGTGCGCAGCTCCCTCCCATTGCTCGCTCCAGTTCTCAGTCCCCGCCTTTCCAGTTGAAGAAAGTGCAGTCTACCGCTCTGGAAGAGCATTCAGGACCGGCAGAGCCGCCAGTCGTGGGAATGGAAATCCGGGTGCGCTGGGTTGACTCCGCGCGCCCAGAATACTCCGTGTATGAATTGGGTCTCTTTCTCTCTGTGTTTCGTGACTGCGCAGGAAATCCCAGGCTGGAAGCTGAGGGATCCGGGCGTCAGCCCTTGCTCTGCACTGGCCGACAGCGGCGCTCAGAGGCTCCGTGTGGAACTGCAATCTGGTTTTTAAAAAAATCTTTCAGGGAATTTTGTTTTTAAAATAAAAGTTGATAGCCAAAATATTTTAATCTTGTCCTCAGTAATTCTGTTTTCGTCATGAAGTATATTTTCAAGTGGTCATATCTCTCCTCTGTTTTACATGTTAAAATTTAGATATTTCAAATAGATCAAAGTATTTCTTTCAAAATTAAAAAAGGCACAAAGGATTATATAGAGTAGAGGTCTCGATGCTATTCCTTAGCCCACTGCCCCAATTCCTCATCCAGAGGCAACCACTGTTGTTCCTGTGAAGAGTAATTTTCCACGAAGTTGAAGGTACTGAGATAAGGAAAAAAATCTTTTCTTCAGCTTCAGCCTATTATGGGCTAGTAAGTAATCCTTACTTCCATATTTAGGTGCTGGAATGCAACAATTGCCATATTCTTTATAATTTTCCAAGGTGTCCTCTACTGCATTTATATAACATTTTTAAATAGTTGCTTACAATAGCAATAACATCAAGAGTAATCTTTTTTAAATCTGTATTTTTCAAAATAATATAATTATTTAAGATAGATGAATAATCATTTTGACTCTCAGGGGCAGAAAAATATTTTAATTGCTGGAGGACACTCCCCAGAAAGACAAAGAAGAGACAGAGAGCTTGCAAACCCACCAGAGGGAACCCATGCAGTCCCTTCTCCTTTTCTCCATTCTGTTGGAATTTTGGGCAGACACAAAAACTTGAATTGTGTTTTGCAAGTTGCCTGGGTCCTGCACTATGATCTGTGGTTGGCCTATGGAGTTTTTTTTTTTTTTTAAGTAAGATCAAATCAAACACGTCACTCTCTTCAATTAATTAAATGGGCTCATTGGTTACCTCCACTAATAATTTGTTTAGGATACTTTTAATTTAAAGTGTGTATTTATTTAGTGTGTGTACGTACGTGCGCGTGGTCTTTTAGACTTGGTCTGATTATGCAGAGATCCTCCTGACTCAGCCTCCTGAGTAACTGAGAATACAGGCCCCTGCCACTTCACAGAACTTTTTCTGGGTGGGCCAGGAAATTGTACCCAGGGCCTTCATGTGGCACCAGCCTGTCAAGCAGCAGTATGGATCAGCATGCTATTTATTTTGACTGTCAATTTCAGGGTTCCCTGTGGGGTTTCCTTTGTCCACATTACAAGATACCTTTGTCACTCATTCTTTGCTCCTGTTCTTGAGAACATGTACAGATTGATCTGAATCCTCAACTGATACTTATTTTCAGTCTTAGTGACTAGAGAATTTAACCAAAAAAAAGATAAAAAGAGCAAAACCCCAAATTTCCTTAATTTAACTCTTGATATAGCCTCTTTAGAGTCCCTGTTGAACAACTAAAGCTAAGTTAAAATATTATATCTGTGGCCAGCAGGGTGGTGATTGAGGTGCTGGACTTCCACATAACCAACCATGGTTTGATTCCCAGACCTGGAGGCTTGTTTTTTTTCTTTTCCTCTGTAAAAAAATGGTGAGCACACATGACCAATAGCAAGTTAAAATAATAATAATAATAATAAATAAAATAGTTCTTTAAAAATGCTATATCTTTCATCTACCAGTATGAAATTAGACAGTCAAATGCAAAAGGATGCTACAGTGTTATCAAGTATGATTAGAGTCAGAAAAATATAAGCACATATTGTTAAAAATTGCTAAATGAATATTAATGAGAAATTAAAATCTCCCTATGAAGTGTACTTCTCTGCATGTGTCACAACAGGTATAACTTGAAAAATACAAACACAAAGGTTACTGCCCTTTTCTTTGGGAAGAACAACGTTGAGTAATATTAGGTTTGGTTTGGGTTTTAAAGGCTAATACATTGTTTCATGTATCATTCTTTTTTTCAAATAATTATTTATTTTATTATTTATTTATTCATTCATTGATTTTTTTTAATTTGACCAGAGAGAGACAGAGGGTGAGAGAGAGAGAGAGAGAGAGAGAGAGAAAGCAAGACACCAGGGGCACGACTCGAACCCCGGTCAGCCACGTGGGAGTCTCCAGTGCCTTAATCACCACGCCACCCGCTGGTCCCAGTTTCATGTATCATTCTTAACAGACCTGCCTTCAAAATAAGAGGTAGAGTTTTCGAAAAAGCTAGAGTTACAACATGTGCCACCCAGAACACACAAAATGACACACTTCTGTTTGGAAGTCTCTATTAGGAATTATCAGTGATACACTCAATAACACTATAAAGTATAAGGTTCTACAAATCTTATGATAATAGGCCTTCATTGGAACTAGGCTAATTTTACAGAAAGTTAAAAAAAAAAAAATGTCAGCCTTAATAACCACCAAGTTTGGAGCCAGCAGGTGGCGTGATAGTTAAGGCACTGCACTCCCACATGGCCAATCCTTTGAATCCTGGACATTGAGACTTGCCTTCTAACTTTCCCTCTCTCTCTCTCCCAGAGACTGCATCTGCTCTATAGCAAACTAAAAAGATTTAACAACGATAATAATAATTAATACAATTAAATAATTCTTTTTAAAAAAATAACCACTGACTTTATAAAAGTCCCCTCCCCCCCCATAGGGCACATGCACTTGCCAGAGAGAGAGGGAAAATGAGAAATCACCCCTCCTCAGGGGAGATGGCCATGCCCCAATCCTTTCCCCTCCATTCACTCCTGGGATTTGTGGCACTGATACACCCAGCATGATTTTCAAGCCACAGGTCTGGGGCTTGAACTGCAGTTGAACATTTGGGAGCCCAGAGCTTTAACCACCTCGCCACCTGCTGGTCCCATAACCACCAAATTCTACTCTTTCCTCTCCTTAATGTTTTAGTTAGAGGCAAATGTCACTGAAACTTAGAAATGATAAAAAATAATAATAAGTATTTCAGTTTTCCATAATCATTCTTAAAATCCAAAAGAAAAAACAATCACAGTATTTTAAATGGAAGAAAAAGACAAAACTTACTGGAACCAAAGGGGAATCTTCTGTAGGAGGTTTCGAATCATCTAACAAAGACAAAGGATCCTTTTTCTCGCAGCTCTCCTGGCTGATGAGCGTGTCTGCGTAGTTGGGCTGGGGGAAGATCAG